AGGAATGCCCAATTCGGTCCCAACCTCTCTCGTGAGCTCATCATTTTCTAGATGTTTTGAGTATACATAGCTGGATCTTCCTCTAGTTCTTCACCCCTATTAAGCTTGTGAAGGTCAGAACTCCTACAGGACTCATTTCTGTGGCCACATGTCACCCTCACCCACTGCCCAGCTATATCCTAACATCTGGCAGATCATCTTCAAGTTCCAAATGAGGGACAAAGACACAAAGAGGCTATGTGGCCAATCTAAAGTTACCCAGTTAATTAGGGGCAGGACAGTTTGTGTGACTCCATCACTCCACGCTGCTTCTCAAAGCCAATGGGCAGTGAAGAGGTGAGGACTGAGGCTGCCAGCACAAAATCCACCAAAGAGGCAGTTGCTGGCAGACAGCAGTGTTAGCCCATATGTAACTACCAGGCCACGTTAGAAACGGTTCCAGCAGGGTCCATGCCCAGGAGCGTGGATTTCCCTGGGCCAGACCAACTCCGGCAATATACACCCCCACCCTCTCCCTCTCCCCAGTTATTCTTTTTATGATGCCATTTTCAATCTCACTTTTAACCTCAAATCCAAATACAAAGAAACCTTCCTCTACTTAGCCCTGAAACTGAAACCTAGTTCTGTACGTTTGCTCTCTTCAAACCTCTCTTTATTCTGCAATAATAAAAATGCCATATTTCATCCCAGAACAGGCTGCATGCCAAAATAAATAGCACCTTGGATTTCCTTAAAAAGAAAGCTTGGCTCAAAGCACAGCCTTATTGCCATGAGAATTCTTGGAGAATTCAACCTTAGAAAGTCAAATATTTAGCAAGGTAGCACACCAAACAGCAATCTGTCAATCCCTGCAAGACCTCTTGCAAAGACAAAACGCTCTTTCTGAAAGAGAGGAAAAAAAATTACTTATACCTCATACTGATCTCCCCAGATGATGAGAGCTTCCCGTTTCCCCACTCCAGGGCCCCATGCCTCCAAGTGGGAACGTCCCCTGTGCTAAACAGCAGGAGGCATCTGACAGCACTGCTTAACATTAAGAGGGCTGAAATCCAGGCACTGGGGAAGTGAGATGCACTCCCGAAAAGGATTCCATCAGCCGAGTTCTCCAGCCAGCTCACTTCCCACCAACCCAGGAAACAAAGAGATAACTCATGCTCAATAAATGACACATTAACACAATCCCATTAACTCCGTTCCCACATTTTTCTGCAAGCGTCTGTCATTTTTGCCTGCACTGCAGCAGCTGAATCTGGAACTTCATGAAGAAGAGAAAACCGTCGGGAGGAAAGCTGGGACCACATTACCTTCCCTTGGCATCCTCCCCCTGCCACAGCCTGGAGCTGGGAGAGTCACCTCCTCCTGGAAAGCGGGGTTCTGCTGCTGGATCCGAGCCGATGGCTCGTGAGTCCAGCACAGCAGCACTGGCTCCCCAGCTGTTAACGATTTGGTCAGGTGATCCGTGACCTTGCTGGAAAAGCAAATATTGACTTCCCTTTCGCTCACGGGAAGAGGGGACTGGGGTCAGGAAGGAATTCAG